CAGTGAAGCACTGGTGTTGACCACTGATGTCATGCTGTCGACAATGATGACACAGAGAGGAATAGAATAGGTCCACAGAGCAATCTGGTCAACTTCAAAAGCAGCTTTACTGAGTTGGATTAGTGAGTTGGTGGAACGGCGTATGAGATCGGCCGTTGAACGCCCCTGTCAAGCCTCTGAAGTTGTAGTTACTTACACCTGCAACCGAATTCCAAGGCGGTCAGTTAACGTTCCCCTCCACTCGTTCGTCGTTTTACGTGTGGGCACAGGGCGACCTATCTGGGCGGGACCGAGAGGTAATTAGACGTTGACAGGCATAACACCTCTCAATTTGAGTACAGCAGTATGAGTCACACACAAACTCAAATTCAGAGGCACAGTGTGCACACAGAGAGAGGATAGTCCGCGTCGTTAGCCTTTCCTTGGGCACGGACTTGCTTTCACAATCCCAGCGGCGAGGTTCTGTTCTGTCCTATTTTACTGGAAAGCAACGGCAACGTACATCGGTTGTGTGGTGCAACAGCTCATTTCACTGTGCTTTCTTTAGATTCGCAACAGCAGTCGATTTCCAGGTTTCTCAAATAAGAGTGTGCCCTGTCCACGTCCTATAAAATGCGGGCCATCAGCGGATACACTGTAGGAGTCGACTGTTCCCAGATGACCTGAGAATCAAAAGCCATCGGCTTCGGATGCCGAGGGTTCTTCATTCACTTCGTTGTACCACGGCATCGACAAAAGAAACTGGGAGAGTTGAACAGAAAGTTTATAACTGTCGGATTGAGTGTGAAATAAAATGAACTTTTTGCAAAAAATACTCAAACCAACGTGTATACGAGCTATGATGAAATACGCGTTCCACACGGAGGCCTATTGCTTGGTTTCGACCGTCGCATGTGACGTTTTTGAGTAGTGGAAGTATCGGTGTGCATCTGACATGCGACCCGAAGGAAGCACGAGGGCTGAGATACTTGTCCAAACCTAGATAGGGGCAGTCGAGATGTCGGGTTCGGTTTCGACCTACGGACTTTTCGGTCAGTAAGTTCGCGTCTTAGTCACTGAGCTATCTCAAGCTCAAAACCAGAGTCACGAATAAACTAAGAAAATAAAGTCAAACTGGGATTTTTCGTCTCCGAGAAATTGTTTAAATGACCAGGAGAAACGTTCTCTACCAGTGCGTCAGGAGGACTAGATGAATTCAGCTTTTAAGGTAGCTTTCAAGGTGAAGAACAGGCATGCTCAGTAACGCACAGCTTCGGTTGCCTACTAGCCTTTGTTAGGTGTGTAGGAGCGCACTCTTCACAGCATATCATTCAGCTGTAGCACCTTTTCGGTGATAGCTGCCATGCCACACGAAGGAGGCACGAGGGCTGGGATACTGCCAGGTCGCCAAAGCCTAGACAGGGGAAGTCGAGTGGCAGAGGTCGGGTTCGAAGCACGGACCTTCCGGTCCGTAAATTCGCGCTCTAACCACTTGTACCAACTCGCCCCCTCTTCACAGCATATCTTCCTCCGAATATGGGATAAGAGGTAAGCAGGCTTTCAGGAGCTAGCGGATGGAATGCAGCGACCGCAAAATCGAAGTGAATTCCCAAATAACCTACCTTTGCTGTGCTGAATGACTGAGAGACTTGCCAGCGGCTGACATGATTTTTCCGGCCTGAGTCTTGTCTTCCATACTGTATCGTTTCAAGAAACGTCCCATTTCATTCTCCGCCTGAGATAGAACTAGCCAAAAGAAAGAAAGTCGAGTCCACACATGCGACCGGTAAACCTACAGCAAATTGTCTCTTGGTATCGAGTCAGCAGGCGAGCTAGATCACGGCATGTTGCTTGTATGGACTTGAGGAGCTGTTGCGGGGGTAGAAGAAACAACATAGTGACGGGGAGCCAAAGAAAGAAATACCTCTAACTTTGCATCCAGATCGGAGTCGGATGCGACGATATTCTCATCTTGTTTTCGACCAAACTTTTTTATCATCGCCTGTTTCGTTGTCCAGTAGGCACTCTTCAATTTATGTGCCCGAGATTCATCAGCTGCTCTTTGTGAATATCGATCGAAACTGATAAAAGTACTCGTGATAAGGACGCGGAATAACTCACTCAGTCATGGTAGAGTTTGGAGGGAATAGTGCAGTAAATGTGATATGGTAAAGTAATGAAATGCGGAATCCAAAGCGGGTTGCAGTTATACCATCCGCTGAAACAGAAAGAAGGGTACTATTACATTTTTTATTCAATATAATGTACCAGTAAATTACAGTATGAACTCCAGAAATCACTTTTACCTACTTGCCTTACGTATTGACCAGAAGGCTCTAGAAAATGAAGTGAACATAAAGCCTGAAATCTAGACTAACAGGCAATCAACCAAATGGTCTTTGATGGAAAAGGCTTTCTGTTACTTCAACAACCCCAAGATGGACTATGTCACGCACGGAACTACACAAATCTTGACCGTTGTAGAGAGCGTTTGCTTGCAACGGCATTTAAATATGGATGTCCCTGCAGGGAACAAGTTTACCTGCCGAAAAAAACAAGGCGGAAACCGATAATGAAGTTGTCTGCCAATGGCGGGAAGTTCCGGAGGCTTTCGCGCCTTGTCCGCTATGAGCCAGGTGACAACAGACTACCGAATACACTGCTACACGACATCGCCACTCTGTCTCCCATTGCACTGCGACGGTATGTAAACTCGGTAACCCATACGGCTATACAAAGAGGACTGTTACGAGACCCACAGCTTCGCTTAAAAATAAAATGATGAATAAATAAATCGCTCGGCTGTAACACCCTTCCGGTGCCTCGCTGCCATGCTACCCGAAGGAGAGGAGGATCTGTCACTTGACAAAAGGGTATGCAACGAAAGGTGAGAGCCTTTGAGACAGGACGTGTGGCAGGTAATGCTACAGAGCAAACGAGTCATCCGGAAAAGGTTTAATCTACCCCAAACAACCCCCACCATATGAAGTCGCGCAACTTGAAAGAACTGACACCACGTCGGCGCCATAAGTGTCCGAGACTAGCGAAAGCTGTACTTGTCTCCTCGATTCGAAAACTAATTTCCTCTCTACCCAGCAAACCGGAACTTATACAACTGCCTAGGTAGACAAAATTTATCCACGAAATCGATTGGCTGGCCCGTGGGCATAACATTTGTGTTTTATCCCACACAGTCTTGTAGCGGCATCTTGCACTTTGAAGATGTAAGGTGGATGAGATACTGTGCGACAGGATTACTCAACTTATTTGGAATGACGTGAATCTCTGAAGAATTCGATCCAAGAGGAGGAATAACGTTCATAAACTCAATGTCTGTCGACGAATGCCCTGAAAACACCTCTATCCACAAAGTTCCACAGGCAAGTTGAAAAGTTTGGGACAGATAGAAAAATCAGTACTGACACTGATGTCCAACTGTCATACGAACGCAAAGTTTATCTAATTATATTCGAAGCCTTCGAATGAAAAGAGAAGGGCGTGGGTGAGGGAGGGGACCTGATGCTGGCCTATTGCAAGCATGCTGAGGGGCATACACCTCAGTCAGAAAATCTGGAAGGCATGAACGCCACTGACATCGATCAGCCACCATTCCTTGCAATGTGTCTAGCAAAGTGCAGGAGAGGGCACCGGGAACCGAATCCTGGAAGGCAGGCAGAAGCAACAACATCCAAACTCTACGTTTTGCACCACCATTCTTAAGGAGGCACAGAAAATATACTCACCTCGGTAGCAAAGATTCCCAAGCATCGGTGGTAAAGAAAACTTAAAACGCCTCACATATGTTCGCGGAGGCCGCGTCTTGCAACCATACAACACAACATCATCATCAACAGCATGACATCAGTGCGGCTTGCAACAACATAACATCATCATCAACAGTATGACATCAGTGTTCAACACCGATGCTTCACTGCCGTACAACCATGACTTATTTGATTTGAATATTGTAAAGAAAAGAATAAAGGTGGACGGGGGAGGGACTTAGTGCTAGCCTAACACAATCACTCCGAGGTGCCTACACCTCCGGACATTCACTCAGGCAATCTGGATAGAAACTGACAATAAGAGCGCCACTCACATCGGTTGGCACCCATATCTTGTAGTGTCTCCAACCAGACAGAGTGAGGATCAAGCGGTCCCCATCCTTGAAGGCCAGTAGCACAGACAGTACCCAAGCGTTTCGTGATCTCCTTCGTACTCCTCTGTCAAGTCAAGTCGAGGGTTGGCCACATCTCTGTTTATGCCACTCTGAGTTGGGCATGGAAAACAGCACTCTCTTCGGCAAACGATGGTTCGGCATACGCAACCAACGCAGCTTCTGGTGCTGGACACATTCTTCAGTGAAAGTACCCGTTACACAACTGAAAACACGCTTTCCAACTGCCTCGTTACGGATTCGCCGACACCAACCCACACGAGCTATGGTTCTGAGACAACGATTGTCGAACACCTGAAGACGTCTCAGGTCCGCTGCTCGAATAGGCCAAGTCTCACAGCCATATAACAAAACAATCCGTACTGCAGTTTGATACACACGTCCCTTGAGATTCAGGGATAAACCATTCTGACG